TATGTTGATAAACTTTTTCATTTCCTTCTTGTGTCGTTCTTTCTGTTCCTAATTTTATCATTCTATGCAGGAAATTTTGTTTTTGCGGCTCAATAAAGTTTTGTCTTTCTTGGCACTAATCAATTATGAGCAATATATTGAGAGAGGTGCTTTGCTAGAGTATTTTCCTTATATCCGTGAGACACTTTTTAAGAAATTGCACTAATTAGTTCTGGCTAGTCTTTGTTCAGTAAAAAAAATTGCACTAAATTAAATTTGCGATTTTGTCAGCAAACTATTACACAGATGTAATGGAAGCCCTTTCTCTATTTCATGGGTACAATATATTTGCACTTAATCATTCGCTTATTATAACTTGGTATTCAATTATGTTTAGAGCATGAAAAAATTTTTATTTCTTTTTTTATTTCACTTTACAGTGGAACATTTAGATGGACAGAGGAACGAGATAGACTTCTTCTACGACAAATAGTATCCCTCGAGCYTTTTGCCTACAAAGCTGGGACTAAAGAAGCAGGTCTAAGGTGGACAGAAGTAGCAGAACGGATCAACTGCTATGCTCATTTCTCAAGTGAACCTAGAGATCAACGCAGTGTGAGGGAACGTTTCAACAAATTGTTGGCAGACTTCAAGAAAAAAAGCAGGAATGAAGAGTCTGCAWGTGGCATTGCTCCTGATGACCAAACAGAAAATGAGATGATATTGGAAGAAGTAGTCGAAAAAATGAAATCTCCGCTGATCCAAGTTGCAAGGGATGAAAACAATCAGGAAAAAAAGAGACAAAATGCCATATTCATTAGGAACAATGCAATGGAGACATGGTCTAAAACAAGAAAGAGTGGTAGTGAAGGTGGTGATTCGGGTTCAGAGGGGAACGGCCAAGTAGAGCAGGCSTTGACCAAAAGACGTAAAACAAGAAAAGGAGGGTCAGAAGCACTGCAGTACTTGGCTGAAAAAACAGAAGTAGAAACYGCTCTGCGAAAGCAAGATCTTGAATTACGCAGAGAAGAAATGCGTCTTCAAGCAGAACAGCAAAAGGAACATTACAAATTGAAACAGCAACAGATGCAACTTATGGCTGACRTTGTCAAAAGACTAGCAAAATAAGTTTTTGCCTTTTAAACCACTCGGTTCTTGTTTGGATTTGTATGTTAAATTACATTACTTGATGTAATGTGAAACGCACTTTAATAATACTTTCCACTAGCTAGTGTTTTTGTTCTATTAGAAATGCTTTTATCGATATTGTACAGTATATCAGTCACAAAACAAAACTAAAGTATGAGAAACCAAGATGCGTGTGTTACGTATGTAAGCTTTTTATTCAAAACTGCATTATTCAACTTATAGAAAAAATATTATTGTGAATATATATTGAATAATTTTAAGTATTTATAAATATTTATTACTGATCAAAGTGTAGCAACGCAAATACACAAGCACTTGCGTTGCTCGCGTGAACCAGGCTTAATAGTCAATTGGACCAGGTTATAGTAACTATTATTATAATATAACAATTATTAATGTAATTATGAAGWTGTATTACCAGAAGGCAAATAAACCCAAGAAAATAGATGTAACCGATGGAATTTCAATTGGGGTAAACTAAAATGTATCAAATTAAATAAGATCTATTTCAGGGGTGTAATGACGTACTTTATTCTATTAAAAACAACAACAAACAAACAGAAGAGCGTTGCAATATTTCCAACAGGATATTATGCGCTTTATGCTAAATAGTCAGCTAATGTTGGAGGCTCAACTTGAAATGACTCAGAGGCTGTATTACCATACAAACAAGTGAGCATGTTTCTGAACAATGCACTTACTATGTACTGCTTTCCTACTGCACTTAATCCTATCTTTAAGTTTTTCTTRTAGTCAATGAACTTGAAGTAGTCCGAGACATCSCGAAACAACCACTCCACGGAGACTCGGACTGAGCTCATAGCTTCATTGAAAGCCCTCATATCAGGTGTTAGAACAGGAACATCTCCAACGCGATAGGGACACATCAAGTTGGGGCGGAG